GTTTTTTGGTATCTCTACCTTAATACTTTTATATGCAAAATAATTAGAGGAATCACGTTATCTAAAACAAATTACATAATTCCATTTAAAGAAGTGGAGGTGACCTTCATATCTTTTTAGCGCCTCCACCAAAAAAACAATTATTGACATCACATTATGTGCTCCTCGAAACCAAGCAACTTTTGTTTGATACTTTTTCTTCTATTGTCAAAAACAAGCGAGTTATTCAGGTGACCTGTTTTAAATACCTCTCCCTGTATAAGTAAATATATACAACAGATACATATGTATAATTAATAAATCGATATAATATATATTATAAATTTATGATTGTTTATTTATTATAAAAAGATCGAGGAAGATTACCTGTATGTTTTGATTACTGATGTAATCTGCTAATGCCTTGCCATATTCATGTCCTCGCTCGCTCAAGTCTGAATCGCCGCCTATTCTGCCTTCGAGGTTCATCAGGCTCTCACCATGCCTGGTCAAGTAAATCGTGCGTGGCACAATATGAATGTTCATAAGATAGTAAACTATTCTACTTTGTATATGACCCTCGTGCTTATGGACCAGCACCTTCTCGCCGGTGTTGTATATTTTCATAAACGACAAATCGCTCTCGCGTTCCTCATCCAATGGCTGATATCGTTCCTGATAATGCTCGATTCGTAGCATAAAGTCCGCAAGCACATCCTCTTTCTTCATGTTTGCGTAATCCGGACTACTGACTTTAACCTAGATAACAGAATTGGAAACGTTTAAATAAATACTTATGTTTATCAATTATGTACATATCTATTAAATCAATTATTTAATATCAATCCACTGTAACGTAACAACCAATCGATACGTCCACACAAATATTTTCCTTACTTTTTAAAAATTTCTTCTATATTGATCTCATTAATTATTAAAAAATAATATTTAATACATTAAATTAAAATTGATATTAATTCTCATATACGAATAACTTTTTGTCCAATCGCTTTGTGTAACCATTTCTTAAGTACATACTTCCATAATGTTCTGCTCTACAATCTCTGGGTCATTGCACACCGATTCGACAAAGAATAGTTTGAAACCCATCTTGCGTACGACGATATCGCGTATCAGCTGACGTCTGTCGACCGTAGAGTTGGTAGCGTCAAAGACGGCTACTTCACCGTCACCGCTCTCCAACCACTGGCAGACGTCGTTTAAAGCGTCCTTCGCACACTGCGTGCGTATTGCCATAGCCTTTATATTATCAGGACGGAAGAACTCATGGCACTGGTAGGCCGTGGTAGCATGCCGCCTATATTCACCCAGGTTGAAAACCTTTGTGCTGATACCAATCCAATTGAGGTAACGACACAGTTTCTTGGATATGTAGGTCTTGCCGCGAGCCGGCAGACCGACCATCGCAATCACATGAGGCTTATTCACGAAATTCGCACGTTCACCTGTAAAAGAGATAAAAATATGAAAAATAAAAGGACATGTAATAGGAGCGAATATTGGACAGAAAATTATATACGCAAGAGATCATTAATCCCTCAAATGACAGAGCTATTTTTAGATACATAAATATTATCAAGCACAAATACCCATTTTGAATATATAGTCTTCTTCATTTATGTGTACTGAAGTTATTTCTATTTCATATATTTAGACTGAATTGATAAATTGTATCGACTTCAATATCAATACGATAACCCAAAATCCGATATAATATTGTAGTATTCAGATACTGTTAGTTGTAATTTCTCACTTTAAAGATTTAAAGAATTGCACTCTACAGTTTCGTACATAATTTGATCCTTGTTATCTATGTAGGTATGTATACATAGGTATATGAATGCGTCAAATTTTCAAAACCTTGTTACATCACGCTGTAAGTGGCTTAAATGTGCCACGTCTTTTAACTCTTACGAAACTAGACCTAATCATATACATCTATACGAGGCGCTTGGAAAACTATTTTTCGTCGAAATTTGGCACCTCTTGGCGTGATGATCAGATCGTATGATACGCATTCGATGTGTTTTACTAATCTTCTAATCATGAATTTTTCGAATATCTGAAATGTCGAGATATAATTTGACATAGAGATATGTATGTAGGTACTTGAAAAATGAGATAAGACACTTTGGAATTCGTCCGAGGTATACTTTCGACTTTATACTTTTCTTTAAACTTATATAACTATATCGCAATCTTGCATATCATTATTAATCATCTGTCAATAAATAATTCTACTTGAAGGATTTAGTCTCCACTTCGCATTAGCATACTCCTCCAATAAAAGTAATATTAAAATAAAATTAAAATAATAATTTTGTCAGTATTTTGTCGCGGCTCACACAAGAGAGAGAGAGAGATTATACAAATATTAATCATTTTTTATGTGCGAATAATACAAATGGATTTTTTTTAACGATGTTCATTATTCCTCCGCAGATATATTTAATGCGCTTAGCACATTATTTACTGAGTAATTTATCTAAAGTACGTAATTTATCAATGAGTTTGCTTCCTTGAAAGGCGATAATTTACATGTATCACCATGTAAAGTTGTTTATCCTCGCACGTGAAGGAAATTAAACGTAGCTAATCCCGTCGGCGAACTCGGATATTATAAGAGAGATTCTTTTTGTGTTTGGCGTTATATTTCTCGACTGTTTAATATACATACATTGCACACGTTAACTACGTTTTGCTTGTCAAAATTTTTCTCCGGGAGGACAGTGACCAAGAACAACGTTAGAATGTTACAACGATATTATTGAAATAGTCCATGTTATCTCTGGGAAGAGATAAATGCTTGGTCTTCTCTTTTGTTATCTTACAATTTTTTCCTATTAAATGCTAGTAGACATGTCAGTAAAAAAAATTGTATAATAATTGGAAAAATACAATAATTAAAACTAAAAAAACAATTAAATGAACAGGCAAATGAGAGTAAAACTGCGCGATTAATGATGTGTTAATATTGATCTATGTACTTAATAATTATATGTAAATACAATATTTATATCTACTTATTTAATATATAGATCAATGTTAGTGCGTCATTAATCATGCAGTTTTACTCTCACTTATCTGTTCAATTAATTATTTTTATATAATATTAGAATAAATTATCAGATTTAGATTTTAAATTGTAATTTGACTCTTATTCGCCCTGTTTAACGTATTAATTATTATTATATAAAAGGGTCCTTGAAATCTTCAATTTATTCGTTAATTATTTTTGTTTTAATCTCGAGAGTCAGTAATCCTACTGTCATACTTATATTAAGGGACTTATATTTTGTAATTCTTAACGACTCTAACGATATCATTGCACAGCTATTTTGCGGTATACAAAACCTGTGTAATAATATAACGATAGATATCGTTGCAGTCGTTAAAAGTTACAGAATAGGCCCCTAGTAATTAAACCTTCACAAAAATCTTCAGACGAAATCGATCATTTAATATTTGTCCCTTTTATTTGTTAAATTTATCGTTTCGGACATCAAAAAGAAAAAAATTTTTTTATATTAAGAATCCTGTTATTGAAAGAAAAAAATCAGATGAAAAAATAGGATTATCTTCTCATTTCTAAAAAATAGGTATATCTTTTAATGGTTAAATGTTGAACGGAAATTCGCGCTTGTGCGGCCTGGCGCCTGGGTCGAAGACACAAGTTTTCTCGCTCCTGCGCTTTCTGGCGACGAGGTGACGAGATCGCGCGATATTGAGACGGCAAAACCGGTGCGATGATCGTATTATTACAGGGAAGAAGACACCCGGTACATTGACCGCGAGATCGAAGACCTTGAACTTCCTCCGAAACGCAACCGCGAGCTCACGTTCCTCGCACGTGTTCGATCTTATGAGTACGTGGGGAGGAGAGGGAAAGGGTGGCGAAGGAGGAAAAAGAAAAAGGTACAGTGCTAGACACCTCGAGAGAGGGAGGGAGGGAGGGAGGGGGAGAGACAGAGAGAGAGAGAGAGAGCGCTAGCTCTCGAAATATTACCTCGGATCGGGAACGGTTTCGTCTGAATGGTATCCGACGTCGGTGGGGTGTAATGCATCTCAATTTCAGAATCGGTCATCCTAAACGTATACCTCCGTGGAGCCAATCTGTCCCGCCGTGAAGGAGAGAGACGACGTAAGACAGAAAGAGCCGGAGCGAAACTGAGGGCGAATGATGGAGATTCACATGCACTCATGTGCGAAGTGCGAATCACCCCAAACCAGACACACTATGCGAACTACGCGCACTGACCGACGAGGACTAGGAGCGAGCCGAACGAGCACGAACGACGAATGGTCCGGAGATAGCCGCCGCCGCCGGCTATCATACGTCACCTATCAGAGTGGCGAATGGTGGCGAAACCGCGACTCGCGAGACTGGTGTAGCGGGGAGAGGTGCTCGGCTCGGTCAGCTCCGGACCGGGTTAGTTAGGTTTGCGTCTGCGATAAACAGAGCTGTTCCATTGTATCCCTCCGATGGCGCTTCTATCTCTCTCTCTCTCTCTCTCAGTCTTGCATGCGCGCGCGTATGATTCATAAGTTTCAGATACTAATCCAGATTGTCGTAACAGTTCTTCTCCTTAAAACGAATCCCTTCCTGACCTGAAACGAAATCTGACACTAATCTTTACCTAGAAGAAAGGAAACCTATATATCATATCCAATATCCAAAGTATAAAACATAAAAATAATCAGAGATATCTAATTTCGCAGAAACTTTCAAGAATGTTTGAAGCCGAAACGCGACTGTATATCGTATGCAATCTCATGATCATTTTTCATTTCCGATTATCTAAGCGCCCTTGGCTACTGCGACACGTAATATGGATTGTCACAAGCCGGTTTGCCAGCTAAATCGCGGAGTAGTTCGAGTAGAATGATGATCCTCTGTACATAGAAAAAAAATACATATCTACTATTTATTAGTGACCCTCTAATAAGAGTCTGGACACGTGAAGTCCGCCATTATTCGTCGAAATTGTGCGAGAGAGAAAAAATCATGCTATCTCATTCTAGTGGCGCTGTAAGTTGTAGCTGATTGTAGCTCTACAAACTTCATAGTTTCTGTTTCTGTTTCGTCTCGCCTCATGCATCGTATCATTTTTAAGACCAGGACCATTAATATTCGAAGACGAAGAAGAATCATTATGATTAATATTATTATATTATTATATTATATTATTATATTATTATATTATTATTATATTATTATTATTTATTATTATTAATTATTATTATTATTATTATTATTAATATTATTATATTATTATGATTAATATTATTATTTATATTATTTTTATTATGCGTTAAAGGAATATATGTTTACATTTTTGTTATATATGTTAAATATAATAATTACAAAAACATTTTTATTAAATATAAATACTGTATATCTAATATACATAAATAATATGAAATATGCATGAAATATTTTTTTCTACATAAATATACTACTTTATTTATTCCCTATTGGTGCTACCTAAGTATTTTTTGTTAAGAATTTTAAAGCATTAATTGTATTATTTGTATTTAAATTTAATTTTTATTAAAGTTTCTTAATCTTGTAATATTTTTATAAATTTTATATATTCTTAATATATTAATTTTTATATTTTCAATCTATTTATAATACTTACTTAATTGTTGTTTTTATTTTATGAAAGACATATTGCAACGTTTTTTTTACATAAAAGTTTTTATAGAAAATATTTAATAATGTTAATATAAGTTAAATAATAATAAAAATAAAAATTGTAATTGATTCTACTTTAATTTTTACGAATTTATTAATTTTTACAGTTTATAAATTTAAAGAAATTTGCGGGAATGGATGATAAATGTCGGACCAATCACAAACCGGGGAGAAGGTGGCCAGACTCTTATTAGAGGGTCACTACTATTTATTACTTAATTGTTTCAAAAGTTTAGGTATACATTCGTAAATTTATTACAAGCATCAAATTTATTCAAAATATGTTCTGATTTTTAATAAATTTAATATTTCAATCCAGATTATTAAATTAAAACAAGTTCGAATTCTTAGGACGTAAAATTGCTCTTCTAAAATTTTATAATATTCTTAAAAAATATATATAAAGTTTTGTTTTTAAATACATGTTTTTCTAAAATTTGTATTATAATAAGTATAAACTATACCAAGAAAATATTCTTTAAATTGCATTTCTAATTATTTTTTTATTGGTAGAATTAAATAAGGTATACTATACGTGTAATACATTATTTTATATATTTTATATACAATATAATATATATTAATAAATATCAGCATTATTTTAAGAAGGCAGTTATATTATTGCAAAGACTAAATTATATTATAAATAAAATTTGTAACATCGCACTAAATAATGAGGTTGATGACCATCAACCTCATTATTTAGTCATCTTGACTTGTAATCAAGGAGTCGATTGTGTATCTTGAAATGAGGTAAAAATAACAAAAGTGAGCAAATTCACTAAAATATTAATAATTTAATTGGTATAATTCAATATCTAGTAAATTTGCTTGCTTTTGTAATTTTTATCTTGTTTCAAGATAGACAATCGATTTCCCGTACTGATCGGTACTAGAGGCCTAGAAAACAGAGATGCGACATTGCGTCGGTTGGGTTAGGTAACCACCGCCATTTTAATTCAATATAAGTGCTCTTGACCAATAAGCTGATGACAGTTGATGCAAAAGGTAAAAAGCAGGAAGTAAGATATAAGGAGACTCCACTCCGTAAAATAAAAGTGGACCCATTTTAGGTTTCGAGTTCAGCTTCCGATTCTGATGAGTGCGAGTAAGAGAAATGATCATTTCTCTTACTCGCACTCATTATGCGCAGCACTACTAAATTCACGAGCGCTGCGAGTGTCGAGAATCGGAAACGGAACTCGAAACCTAAAATGGGTTCATGTCTTGTAGACTGGCGAGACCGAATGGAGTCTCCTTATATCTTCCTTCATGCTTAAGACAGTCTTGAAATAAGAACCAACTATGAATACCGGCCTTAGACAGCCAATCAAGCCATACCCTTCAATGACACATCTCTGTTTTCTGTCTCTAGGGCCGGTATTCGTAGTCGGTTCTTATTTCAAGACTGTCTTAAGTAATGTCTTAAGGGCTTTAAGATGCTAAAGCGGCCCTCTGATTGGTTCGTAACTCCTCAAGACTGAATCTAAGGCTGGATCCTCATACAGGCGCCAGCGCTTTAGCGCCAGCGCTCAAACGCTGTTTCAAAAGTTGAACAATAGCCAATAAGAGCTGTCCAATTGAGAAAAATGGTAACGATATTTCTTGTCCAATTTTATAAATAAACTTTTAAATTATAAACTATCTTTATATTTCTATTTTATATTTCTTTGTATCAAATTATGTGCAAATCTATTTCATTTTATATGTTTTTCACAAAATTAAAAAAATTCAATCTTTAGCAGCTACATCCATTGTCTAGTGACATTCCGATAACAACACGGCGCCCAAAGTTCGACCGAGTCGAACTTTTTCAATCAGCGCTTGAACACATATGTGCCGATGTGCGTCGCGTATACACAATCACAAATGAAGAAAAAAAATGGCTAACCTTCAAGTAAGTGTACTTCAGCAAATATTTTTCGATAAAATTCCGCAATATATTATGAAAATATAAATGTGTATATTATAAATGATCAATATAATTGCATGTTGTATATTATTTATTGTATAATCAAATTCCGAATAAATTTGAAGCCAGATTTACAATGTGCTCTTTGCTTCTTGTTTTATTAAACACACCTGCACCAACAGTGCCTGAATTGGTCCTACCACCATTACCACAAGTAGCACAGAATGACGAAGTTGAAAATGTCATAGGATTAATTCGAATATCTTTAAACACAATTCCTAATGCGAGAAGACACGAATTTATTATAAAATTGCTCACATTTATATATGCAAATGAAAATACTTATAAGCAAAGCACTTAAAACAATTACAAAGAAAATTACATGTAATAGCTTTTCATGCTTAATTATATCCCAAAATATTTAATTATATTATCCATTTTAGAGAGAGATCTAGTTGAAGACTTACTTCAAGTATAGACAATTGAAAGAATTAAAACAATTATAACAATATAATTGTTTTAATTTTTTAATAGTCTATACTTTAAGTAAGCCTTCAACAAGATTTCTCTAAAATGGCCGGATAATATAATTGAATACCTTTGGATATAATTAAACATGAAAAACTATTACATGTAAAAAAATTTAATTTCTTTTTGTTTAAAGATACTCGAATTAATCCTATTACATTTTCAATTTGCTTATAAGTAATGTTCGCATGAATATATATTACTGTTATACTTTATACTTATACTTTATCAGGATCACTTGGTACAGTAAAAAATTAGTGGGTCGACAAATAGGGACCATTGTTCCTATATTTGTTCCTATTAGTTGTTAAATGCAAGAGAACCAAAGATTGTAAATGATCCACAAATTTGGGATAAATATGTTGGAGAAAGTGAAGCCAACATTAGAAGATTGTTTGCTGATACAGAGGAGGGAGATTATAAAAACGTAGTACATTTATATACATATACTGCTGTGATACATAATGTAACTACATACGTATACTTATATGACTTAATGTTTACTTATTTTAAAGATTTAAGCAACGTTTATTTTTCTCAACATGTTCGTTTTTTTTACCTTGAATGTAATTGTTTAGTACAATATTTGTTTATTTAAGAGTTTGTAATTTGGCTTTTAATGTAACTATACGTACGTATATTTATATGATTTAATGTTTACTTATTGTAAAGATTTAAGCAACGATTATTTTCCTCAACATGTTCGTTTTTTTACATTGAATGTAATTGTTTAGTACAATATTTGTTTATTTAACAGTTTGTAATTTGGCTTTTAATGTAACTATACGTACGTATATTTATATGATTTAATGTTTACTTATTGTAAAGATTTAAGCAATGCTTTAAACTTGTCGAGTCACCACAGTCACAATGGTCCACGGTCTACAAGAAAGAAATTCGACTATATTTACGATAGTGCATACATTTTGGCGCTTAAGCGCCAAAAAATCGTGAAAAACTCAATCCTCATGACAGCGCTGGTGCTTTCTTGCTATCTATCCCCTCCACCCGTTTTTCGCAAATTTACACCAATCAGCGTTTGGCGCTAAAGCGCTGGCGCCTGTATGAGGATCCAGCCTAAGACGGTCTTGAATATAAAGCCCATTCTACATTGGTCGTATCGTAGCATCGTAAGTGTCGTGAGATTTCTAATTGACACATCGAATTGGCTGTTGCAATTAATTTGTGACCTGCGACGCCTACGATACGACCAATGTAGAATGGGCTTAAGAACTGACTATGAATACCGGCCTAGGTATAATAAGAAAGGTATAGCAAGGCGCATGTAGGGGAAGGGGGAAAATTGATTGACCAACCACAACACTGTAAGTTTTTGAGTCGCCAATTCAAATGTCTGTATGACTCAGGTAGATGGAAACAAATACATCTTATTACAAATAGCCTTGAATTATTTAATTATTTAGTTAATATGTCAAATTGAAGAATTATATATATATATATATATGTAAGTACATGTGTGTATGTGCATAGAGTATACGCTATTTCGTTTCAACAAAATTACTGGATACTCTCCAACTATCCTTTTACTGCAGAGATAAGTTATCTTGATAAAAAAGTTATTGGTACGCGTTAGAAGAAATAAAATACTTAGAGAAACATGAAAAATGACGTTTTTCACAAAAAATCATAACTCAGTCAATTTTCAATACTTTTATCTAAAAATTGAACCTGTACATACCTTTTGAAATATGGATCTTTAATATAAAAAATACTGTAATAGTACAACTTTTAAAAAGGTATTTATTTGGGATTCTGAAGTGGAGTCTTCCAGTACCCCAGGGGCGCTTTAAGGGTTAATAATAAATTCTGAAATAAATGTAATTTCTATATATACATATATATTCAAAAGTATATATCATTAATTACATTATTAAAATACAAAATCTCTTATAATTATGTATGTATGTACATATGAATAAAAATGCATAATATTTGAGGTTAGAATACAGGTCTTTGATATGTACATTTATTACATATATAAGTATGCGTATTTTTGAATATAACAAATTGATAAAATGGTAAACTTAACTTATTGATGATTTACTTTTCACGTCACTTCTGCAATTTTTCGCTATTTACTATTTTACTCGATCTTTAATCGCTTCTTATCACATATATATGCCATACATGGTGTAAGATTCTCGGTGCATTTGAATCGCCACTCAAAAAACTTACTGTATTGTGATTGGCTGCAGCTGCGCATCCTCCTAGTTGCTATACCTCTCTTATAAACCATGGGCCAGACCAGGCTAGAGATCCTATATGGAGAGATGGGCCAATGTCCGGCATGATGTTGTGAAACCGGAAATCACATGATCTTGGAAATGCGCGCTAATATATCAACGCCAATTTCGAAACATCACGTAACACTACTTGTTTATTATAACTTTGTTAACTCAAAGTTGTAATGAATAATTATTAGAGAAAGTTTATTTTTCGTAAATATAGAATTGTGGATAAAACAGACAAAATAGACAAAAACGTGCAAAACGTATTAAATTCGAATAAAAAAGTTGCTTTCCATTTACACACAGTGATACGAAATCTGAAGTGATATGAATATTTTATATTTAAACAATGACTTTACTACTTATTTATTTGGTGAAAACTTATCGCATAATAACACAGATTTCTAACCTCATATTTAATGTGAGTTAACAAGATTTAATAAATCATACGATCTCGAGTTTGTGCAGATTGTTGGCAAAAAGTCAATTGCCAGAATGAAAAAAAAAAACAATTTTAGGTTAATTTACATATAAAATGTATGTATGTATTTATAAATGAATTTTTATATATATTTATATATATATATTTTTTCCAAAAGTTCTAGTGATACATTTTTGATGATTTTAAACTTACTTACTGTAAAAGAGACTCGTCTAAGTTAATTTTTGTCTCTGACAATACTTCTTATAATCATAAGCAGACGACGCTCCTCTCACTCTCACATTCGCTTCTTTCACTTTCACATCCGGTTTCACAACATCATGGCAGAGCCAATCACGGATCAGTCGGCATTGGCCCATCTCTCCATATAGGATCTCTAGACCAGGCTAGGCAACTACCATTCTCTCTAAACTGTACTTAGTTCATGGTCCGCGTGTATATCGAGAATTGCGAAGGCGTGCGGTATTTTCTGGTCTCTTCTATCAGCTGGTTTCGACACAGGCGGGTAAGTAGTCTGTTTCGCTCCACATTTCGACATCCGGAATTTAATTTCACCGGTGTGGCGGCGTACTGTTAAATTTCCAACGCTTTATTTCACTTTATTTTCTTTCCTTGCGTACTACTAATTACTACATCTACATCGACGAACGTCGGCAACAGTGAGATACATTTCTACATCGGCAATCTAATTCTTGTAATAATAGGCAAAATTTTAGGATAAAAGCAAGTTTTGCGCTTCAGACGCGATTGAAATTAAAATAAAAACAACTTACAAAATGTCTAGTTCTACTTATAACTATTTCTTGTTCTTCTTAAACTCGTGTAAATCCCATGCACTGCAAGGTTAATAAAATTGTTCTTGACCATGAGAATTACTGTTTTTCTATGAATATAAACATCGAATGACGTAATCGTTCGTTACACAATGAATCGAAAAAACAACCTTTTTTTATAAAAAGAAATGTTTTTAATGAGAAAATAAAACATTCTCATGTGTGTGTTTCTGTCCGTATTCGTTCATTCATACTTTTGGATGATACGAAGTTATCTCGACGTTGGTAACGAAAAAACAATAAAAAAGTTTAATAAAATTTTCGACAGATAGTTTCGCCGAGTCTCGTGCGAAAACAATTCATTATAGATCTCGTGAATCTCGTGAGAGGTAAAAAAGGTGGCGAAGTTGGTTGAGGGTTAACCGGTCGAGGTACAGCGACATGCAGCGAAGCCGCGGACGTATAGGTTAGGTCACGCCTAATTTCGGCGTGTTTCTCTTTCTGCAAGATTGCGAATTTCGCGTTCGCGATTACGTTTACGCCAGTCACGCCTCTACTTTTTTTCTCCGTCAACAAATTCACCATCGTCGCGTCAGGAATCTGCTTTCAAGGAGCTACGGAAGATTTAGAGGTTGAGGTTAGGTTCGCCTCGCGTGAGTCTTCCGGTACGTATATACGGGATGTTCGAGATCGAGATTCGATCTTTCGAATGAATCGTCCTAAGATCCTCTCAGATCGTCCAGAGAAGAGATACGATATGACGTTATATATTTTTCCTCCGTTACTGATTTTACATCAAACGGTTCAGAGAGAGAAAATAGTCGAGGATTAATAGTTAAAATGTACAAAGTTGAAGTATGTTCGTAGAATTTGATTCTTCAATACTTTAAGACTCCTGTAATATTAAGAGAAATTTATGAAGGTCGACATCAAAGATACGCGGAGATACACGGCCGGTGCCAATTGTGCCAAGTCTCAAAATCCCTGAAGCGAAATTCCCGTTGTAATTTCAGGAGGTTCTTCTGGATTTAGAGTGAGTCCATTACGTTGTTTAATCTTCGCGTCTCCTTCGTGGATCACGTCTCGCAGATGATGATCTGCATCATGCATCTCTATTATCAAATAATAGAACTGGATAGAACCGAAATTCCGTCCCGGTCTTCCGATGTGGCCACTAATGGTTTATAATCATCATTCTATCTTTATCGTTCATAAATATAAAACAACGACAGAAGCGCTACAAGGATCCGAGCCGAATGTAGCTCGAGGCGTAGCACAGTGCGGCCAAATGCGCTTTTTAGGGACAAAAAAATAGAAATTCATACCTAAATAGCAAAATAAATGTATTTAAGTGTGTTTTTTGTCTTATAGTGTATTTTTTTTTAGAAAAAATTTTAATTTCACTCTGATGAAAATATTTTATTCACAGTCTTCTGTTTCCGTATCGATTAATTGCAAGTTATGTATTTAGTATGTCTATTTCGCTTGATATGCCTTTTGGTTGATCTATATTCAACAAATAATCCTAAATATCAGAAATATCTCTACTATATATCTTTGAAGTGCTTTTTCTATGGCTTGAAATTAGAGGATCTGAGGAAAGTAAAAGCGTTGTAATGAGGTCCCTATTTGTAGTCACACGCTAAAAAAAAATCTTAGAAATTAGTGTAGCAGTTTGTAGCAGATAAACTTTTCAGATTCTAAAAATATTATAACCAGAGCATCTCAGAAAATCAAAAGTACAGGATATTTTGTGTCTAACCTAATTAAAAGTGTACTAAAAGTTGATAAAAGTAAATAAAAGTAAATAACACTTCTAATTTTTCACTGTCATTATAAAAAACGAAATAAATATAAGTATGAGTACATATTAACAAACCATTAACTCAAAATAAAACATATATACTTTTATGAATGTTCTCTATAATATATATTTAAATTAACAATTTTGAATTTATTTACATACAACATTTTATGAGAGTTATAAGTCATTATGAGATGCTACGAACAAAAATCAATTAGTTTTAATCAAAATATAGTTAATGGTCGTTAAATTAGCTTTATTAATATAACCAATACCGATCATGATTTTTTTGAATTTTGTCCAATGCGGCTGCACTGTGCGTCGGCGTGAATCCCGGTTACGTGATCACTAATAATTCATAAACAGTTTTGTTTTAGACGTTAAGCAGAAATTATTACGTAACGATTGACGGAGAGGTTAACTCCCTTGCAGAATAAACATTGGGTGATTTAATTCAAGCGGTCTCAAATAGAATTTCATTTTGTTTGTGATTAATAATATAAATATTATGTAATAAATCAAATAAGTAAGTGAATGTCAGACACAGTCGAAAGAAGAGTGGGATGCCTAATAATATTTTTATGTGTAAATTTTAAATACATCTTTCAGTTATATAAACTGCACCAGTCATCGTCGACTTGCAAAAAAAATACCTACGGATAGTCGGAAGGTTTCAGGTTCGAATCTTGATTAAGGTAATATTTTTCACAATAAGTTCTTTACAATATTCTAAGATATTAGTAGTGTTATTATCAAAATGATCAATTTAAAATTTGTGAGATTGTTATTTCAGTTTATTACTACATTGCAAATCCTGACAGTAAGTAAGCGGCGTACAATTTATAGAACTGAAAGAATATAT